GCTGTACTGTGTGAGTTCACTCTGCCTGCTACACTCTGCCTCGGTCGCCGCTGCAACCAGCGTAAAATACTAGCTAACTGTAGCAGCATACGGTACTGGCTCACGCGGCCGGCCTTACACCCCGCACCCCGACATCAATCCTAGCACAACCTGTGCGAAAGCCTCGTACCAGCGTCATTCACTATGCACGACGAGCAAACGTACACCAAAGGCAAGTACCGGCGTTGGCACCAAACCACGACGCTTCCGCGTAGACACAAAGTTCCTTTTGAATTTTTTTTAAATTTCTTTTTATTACTCAATTTTTTAAAATTTTATTTTTATCAAATTTTATTTTATGAAACTTATTTTAGAAAAGTTATTTTAGAAAACTTATTTGATAAAACTTTATTTTTTAAAACTTATTTTATAAAAGTTATTTTATAAAACTTAATTTTATAAAAGTTATTTTAATTTAATTTAATTTAATTTAAAGATTTAATTTAATTTAAAGATACCTACGCCAATCGGCAATATACCTACAATTAGATTAGATACAATATTTTGAAAAATAAATAAATAAATAAATTTGAGGGGGAAAAGAACAAAGAGAACTTGAAAGAAAATAGTTTTGAGAATGACTTTAAGCCAAAATTAGGGAAATTGTAGTAGACGTGATTTAGCCTCCGGAATGAAAGCACCAAGCGAGCCACTGTAGAAATCAACCTTGTTATGCAGGGCGTTGACAAGTTGAGCAATGCGGTTGTGAGGACCATTATACACATAGTTTGTGGTTGTTTTTGTAGTTTTAAGTAGACGGTTACATCTCAGCGAAAACCCCACTGGCGCGAATTTTATCAAAGTTTATTTTATAAAACTTTATTTTAAAAAAACTTTATTTCATAAAATTTTCTTTTTAAAATTTTAATTATTTTTTTTTAGTATTTTATATTTCAAAATTTCTATTTACACGTTAAAAAACTAGAGTGCTTTGAGCCGATACGAGAAGGGGTCAACTGGGGTCAATTTCCTGAGGCATGACTGAGCGCTCTTAAATTCTAAACACAAAAATGATTATTTTAGTTTTATGATACCTACCTACATTGTTACTCTTAAATATTTTCTAAAATTTCATTAAAAATAACATGCAAATATTATCATCATCATCATCATGTCGTTTTAAAGATTTAACAGTGTGTATCAGTCAAGCTGCCTCGCTTGATACGAGTAGGTAGGTACTTGTTTTGATCTGGCACCCGATCGCGTCACCAGTGTTGAAAGTCGTGCATTTTCACGCACACGAAGTGTTTGTATGTGTGTGTGCATTTTAGGCGTGCTTCACACTTCAGATTTTCGCCAACGAACCCGTTTAACTAGCGGGAATTAGTTTATACCCGTTCATCGTCGGGTGCATGTCATGCGTAGATAAATACTTTCTGCAGTCGTGACAAACACAACCATATAATTTCAATTAATCGCATTTAAAAACAAGAATACGGATATGGGCCTCAATAATAATTCAAACAGAATCTACACTTGATTGATTCGGTGGTGCATTCGTGTAATTTCGGCATCCCTGCAGCAGTGTGGGTCTGCAAAACTAAAAAAACACTAAAGTTACTAGTTAGCGTTTTGCACTAGGATGACGCCGGCGTACAAGATGTCCTTTTCCTGCGCCGACCGTTATCGAGTCTACAAGTGTTACCTACTGTTTGCTCCGCAGAAATATTATTGCAATCGAATATAAATCAAAAGGTGAATACTGAAAAATACACAAATCGACGGGGAAAAGCACGGCAGGTAAGAAGTCATAGTTATTTTGGCGATATTTTGAGATTAGTCGCGTTATCTTGTGTTTTTCATGTTGCGGGTCGGCCGTCGGCTCAACCGCCATGCGTCGTACCTGTGCGCTTGCCGTGTTGAGCCGTGTAAGTTGTGCAACCAAGTCGGCCATATTGTGCAGTTGTTCTTTGTGCTGATAAGACGTGTGCTTGCTGTTTTTTCAAAATCCAATTGCATCTGAGTTCAAATCTACTGGATTAGCCAGGAATCGTGTCAAATCATCGTGGAAAGCAGTGAACGGTGAGTGTATCATAATATTTTTATGATTTTATTACGGATCTTTGCGTATTTTCAAAAATTCCATTCCGTCGTTAGCATGAACCACGTGGTGCGGGTCGCGTTTTTGCTTAATTGCTTGATATAAAACTAGTTCGTTCCTTAATTCAAATGTAATTTAGTAGTAGTTTCAATTTTAAATACAGATTTCCAAGTAAGAATAACTGATTTGTTATGTCTGCCCTGCATGCTCACTCGACCCTGACCACGCAGAGGTAACGGTAGTCTGGGGTTGCAGCTGGCTCAATGGCCTGTTTTTATTGGCACAGATTGAGAAATAGAAAGTTGCAGGAAACCTTGACCGCAATAATATTACAGGCGTAGGGTATTTGTAAGCAGAACAAAAGTACCTGCATGATACAATGTTCCAAGACAAATAATAAACATGGAACATATCACAATACTAATACCAAATTATTTCTTTTCTAATGCGAGTTTTCAACGTGACAAATATTCCACCATCACTACTGCACGACACAGAACTACCCCATTGGCTGGAAACAATTTCAACCCTTATTGTGCACCCCTACAGAGAGGGTCATGCCGGTTTAGTAGGGCGTACTACTGCTACCTGTTGTTTGTTGCTCCTCCTCACAACGGGATGATACCATGAACAGCTGTAGTCATTGGAACAGCTGACGACGAATAACATGAATGCACACTTCCACAATGGAGATTCAAAAAGATGGCTTTAAGTATTTCCTATTAATTCTCAAGTGCTAATGGATTTATGGTTTGTTTTAGATTCACACATTGAGATGCAGTATACCTACCTGTAGGCCACTAATCGAGTGTATATAGTGTATACTCGAGTGTATATTCGTGTGTAATATATTTCTGCACAAGTTGTTCTTGTGGTGAAAGCAGTGAAGTGACAAAGAGTGTAGTCAAAAACAAAGTGTTTTGTACGAGTAAGTAAAACAATTAAACACTAATACTAATTGGTCTCTCTGCTTCCTTTTCAGATCGGATGTGAACTCGGGTCGCGATCATTAAAAGTAGTAAAGTATTCGTATATTATTCGAGTGCGCGTCGCGAATAGTACCTAATCGAAAGTGCGGGAGTAAACCGAGTGCGCGAATGGAATCCATCCATCCATGATGAGAGGGGCATCGTTGGACCTCTTCTAGCTTCTTACCAGCGTTGGACAACGTGGGAGTACTCGACGCATCCTCCATGGAAACAAGACGAATGATCCCTGTTTCATGGAGCCGGATTGAAGGTAGGTGTGGTGATGCCCCTAATCGGAGGGTGGCAATTAGTGCCCCTGACTGCCTCACGTGCCAGTACATTTGTTGTTCGTGTGTCAGCCCAAGGGGAATTCCACTGATTGCTATGACCTTGGTTATGGGCTAATCCACCCAGCATAATTAGATCGCCTGATGTTAAGTAGTGAGTACACCTGACACCAAACTGGTTGTCTTGTATCTGTATGCGCCCTTTAGTCCCATCTGGACACTTCCCTTTTGTCCGGATGCACAATTCTGCTTTCTATTGGCAATTTGGGCATCCCAATCGCGGCATGCACTCGTGTCCCTCTTGCTCTTTCTTTTTGTTTATGTGTCAGTGTTACTTTGAGTTAACTTGCTTTTCTTCACTTACCTATAGTACCTAAACACTTTCTATAGTCGCGACAAATGAAAATTAATAATTCGTTTAAATGCTTCTGAAGATAACAACAAGAAAATCTAGCCAATGTTTTGTTAACAATTTTCATAATTCTTCTATTATTTTGATAACTTTATTGCTTTAATATAGATAATTTTAAATACTAATTGATAATCACTTCCATTATTGCTTCATGTTAACTCAAAGTATCACCCTTTTCAGCATCGCGTCATCCGCGTTCGGTCGTTATTGTTAGCTTGGAGTCAATTCACATCAATTTCACATCTAATTTCAATTTTCTATTTAATTTGATGATTAACTTGATTTTAATATTCTAATTTTCATATTTAATTTAATGACTCTGAGCTGTATTAATTATCGGGTCCGTCTTTACGTAGTATGAATGTGTGAATGATGTGTGTTTATTGCTGTGTGCCTCTTCGGGTTGCTTTTATATTTATGTATTTACCGGGCATTCCCGTTATGCCACTCTCATCACAGATCGCAAACGCGTCGCGATTTCCCCCCAGTAGAACAACATGAATCGGTCTGTGATGATCTAGCTAAGTATGTGATTAGGTAGGGCCAATTAGGCAGGGCACTGTCTTTCTCTCTCTCCTGTGTGAATGTGTGTTTAGCGACTAACCATTTTCCGCTTTCAGAAGTCCCCGCGAATTAGTTCCGCGTGCGTAATCGTTGTTAGGCCCTTTCCTTTCCTTCAATAATGTCTCACTTGCCTTTCAGCTGCAGCTGCACTCTTCTACCTCCAGTTAGATGTCATCAATAGCAGTAATCTTTCTTCTTTCTAGAGTAGTAGAAGTAGTAGAGTAGTATGATAACTTGGCGAGGTGTTCATTATTTGCTTCACATTAATACGAACAGACTGCCAAGTTATCTTTAGAATGAAATAGTAGTTGCAATAGTAGTTAGTATCAAATCACATTTTTTTCAGCTCTCTTTCAGCCTTTCTTTCAGCATTACAACATTATTTCTCATTTCTATTGTCGTGTAATGTACCTATTTGTGTGTGAGTGAATGAGTTCCTTCCTTTTACCCCCAATTAATCTAATTTATTTATTTTCAGCAGACACTTTTTAAGATTGTAAATAAAAAAATCTCATCATTACACCTCTTCTTATTTATTAATACTACCAATAAAGAAAAATAAGTAAAAAATAAAAGTCCGTAATATAGACTCACATGCTATAGGTATACGGGGGTGGTTTGGAGGGCCTTTTATCTTTATTTTTCTGTTATTTCAGTCGCAAATACAACTGTGCAGTTCAACCTACTATCTATATATCAATCTCAACTTTCTCTTGAGTTCTATTCATAGATATTAACTTTACTACTTTTACACTAGAGTGGGAAAGTAATAACTATTCAAAAGTTTCCCTCACAGTTTCCTTATTTACTAAAAAAGTTTCATCTTTCATGCTTTTCATTTGTTTAAAAAACAAAACGTCACTATTTGTCTAGATAACCAATTCAATCCCTCAGTCATCTGTCATTTATTAATTACCACGTTTTTAATCCTATATATTTCTACAGCCAGAGAATGTTTGCTCCAAGAATAAGTGTCGTGAATTCTACTATCAGCGGTGGTAGCAGCCGCAGTCCTACAGATAACAGTTCTTCACAGGGCGGCTCACGAGGTAGCACTTCCATCGAAAGTGACGATGACAGACACAGACAATCCACCATGGTAGATCCCCATTCTTCTACTTAACACTGCTCCACTTAAACACTAAAAATATTTCAGGACTACAGAAAACGCGGCATTTGGTTTGGATTGAACGAACACATCATCGTCACAATGGCGTCGAGCATGGGCATCTTACAATACAGCAATTACGCGCTAGTAAACATCAAAGACAGTAAAAACACAACCAACCCTTACAGCATCTCATAATTAACTCACTTATTTCCCGCTAGGTGGCACAATACTGCAAGTATTTGCAGCGTATGTCATTGTAGGAATCCCCGCTAGTTACATGCAAATGGTCCTCGGTCAATTCACACACCTTGGCGTATTTCTCCTTAAACGCATGGTGCCAGTCGCAGATGGCGCTGGCTTCTCATACTGCATCACCATCTTCTTTCACAGCATGCTCTCAGTCCTCCAAATGCAGAATATCGTGCTGTATCTTGTCATTGCGTGTGTTCCGGGAGACCTTCAATGGAGTATATGTGGCGCCCCCAATTGTTGGGAAGTGGGAACACCATGCAATAAAACTGCACCGTGCGTAGATGAACAGACACATGTGGCTGCCTACGTCTTCTGGAAGTAAAATAATTTTAAATTTTTATTGTTTAGAATTAAACATAGAGAATAATTCCAGTGAGACAATCATGTTGGGACATTCAACGCCAGAAGAACGTCACCTGGACTTCCCCGACAAGGAAGCAGTCTTCACCTCGTTATCCCTCTGGATAATCATTTATCTTTTATCATTAGTATCACTCCTCCGATTGAAAAAATTCGTCCGCAGGATGACTGTGGTGCATTTAATCATCAAAGGATGCACGACGTTTGGTCTCCTCTTGAAAGCAGGCGTTGTACGTGCGTTTACCCAGCTAACAATGCAATCAATTGTAAATCTGAACAACATCTCCGCATGGCGTGAAGCTGTCATCCGGGTGGTGATAACAATGACGCTCGGGGACTTCTCGCACGTGATGCTGGGTGCCCTTGGGTCCGACATGACGAAAATCGGCTCGGTTTCATTCTTATCGGGGTTTTTATCGTTCAGTTCGCTGTGTATGGATGAAATAATGGTGAATTCCGCTACGATCGCCCTCTGTCAACAGTTGAATCTACCACAGAGTCAAAGGTATCTTCTGTTTTCCCCGCCAAATGCCCCGATGCATTTGACGATGATCCCGACCACTTTTGAAATCCTGCCGTATCCAAGACTATGGAATTTGTTGTATTTTGGTAATAAGATGATGGCGATCCTGTTTCGCATCATATTGAATATTCATTTCTTGCTGGAGGCAGTCACACATCGTTTTCCTACGTTGAGTTCGTATAAAAAATACACTTCGCCTATTTTCTGCGCGTTGGCATGGAGTATTGGTATTGTCCTTCAGGGACATCCAGCGTATGAAATCCGTGTGAACTTCCAGAGGGTCACTATCTTTTTATGTCAGTATTTTAATGTTTTCTTCTTTGCTGCGATGGTTAGTTATGTCTACGGCGTGCGGCGTTTCTGTGATGATATACATTTCCTCCGAAAATCACCGCCGAATCTCTACTGGATGATCACCTGGATGCTTTTGCCGATTTTTCTCTTGGTTACTATAAGCGCAGAGTATTTACACAAGAATAACATGTTCTTTAATGAGTGTCTCATTGAGATGGTATTGATGTTCTCGCCGTATTTGGTGTTGACTAGTTATGAGACGATTAAGAAGATTATCGAACGCAAGACTATTACGTTGATTACGCCGGAAGCAAAGTGGGGACCACGTGAGGCTGAGCGGAGAATACGACGAAGGCAGTTTAATCCTAGGAAAGCTACGAGGTACATGATGGAATCGATGCATTGTCATCATATTTGTATTATTGATAGCAAGCTCTTGAAGGCGATGGTGACGAAGGAAGCGCAGGTTATGGCGAGGATTGGTGGACAGAACAGGACAGAAATGAAGGCTGGGAGGCGGTCAAGAAGATCCAGCACGGAATTAATCAAGCCTAGGTTCTCGCAGCTTTCATTTTGAAAAGAAAACAAAATGGTTTTGGTTTACACGCGCCCTCTATTAACAGTATTTTAAACTAACATTTTAAAACTTTTACAGAACTAAATAATTTATAATTAAATCACTGATCTGAATACTTTCACAGATTTTTTAATAGTAAATATCATACAGACTTGTAAAATGCAATAATATAATTTTTAACAATTAATTTTTAAATTTTTAAGAATTTAAACTCTGGAATTGGTAGCTAGATGCCGCTAGTAGTACCAATTTGATTTCGTGCGTTGCACAGCTCGCACCTTCCCTGTTCAATTCAGATCGTTGTTCTGCATACACGTTTCGTGTCTCGACGACTTAAAAGTAAGTTTAAACTCTGCGTGTGGATTTAATATTAACATAATCTTATCATTTATATTTCCTCCTTTTGAACTAAATTGTTTTTCGTTCATTTTCTTCAAAGATTGATTGGATATCATTGGATATTTATCTTTGTTTATTCTTGGGGTTATGTTTTCCTCCGCTTCTCTTATAACTTTTAGAAGTTCTTGTGAATTTGATTCTAATTGTAGTTTTATTTAATTTTTAGATGCGTTACGTGGCTGCATATATGTTGGCTGTGCTTGGCGGCAAGCAATCGCCGACCGCTGATGACATCAAGAAGATCTTAGGATCTGTTGGCATTGAGGCCAATGATGCTAAAATGAAGAAGCTCATTGCCGACCTCAGTGGCAAGACCATCGATGCTCTGATTGCTGAAGGTATAATCATTATATTTGATAAAATATCCATCAGTATTTTAATGTTTTTATGATGATTTTACCTATACCATCTTTCGGATGATATTGTTCATGATTTTAACTTTTTTACTGATATTATTCAAATTTAGTGTTATTTTTATGTTTGTCATTGTTTTTTTAATTAATTTTGGCGTTTTTTAGGTCGCGAGAAGCTCTGCAGCATGCCTGTTGGTGGTGGTGCTGCTGCAGCCCCTGCTGGAGGTGCCGCCCCAGCTGCTGAAGACAAGAAGGGTAAAATATACTTAATTGTTTATTTATTTTAGCTTTAAATGATGAATATTAATTTACCATCTTTCGCCTGATAACAAATCTGATGCGATTTTCTTTACTGAGTTTTGTTTACTTAGTTTTAATTGATTTACTTAATTAGGACAGTAAAATAATAGGGTTTTTAACTTTGCAGAGTCCAAGAAGGAAGAGAAGAAAGAGGAATCCGAGGAGGAAGATGACGATATGGGCTTCGGTCTCTTCGATTAAGCGACCAAACGGCGCTCATTTTAAGTACCTTAATTTTATAATAAAAGTTTAAGGACAAAACCACATCAAGTTGCAATTTTAACTCTGTATTTCTCTTTCCTTAAACCCTGTAGGATATTAATGTGTAGAGTAATTTCTCGTTCTCAGCTCGTAGTTTTAAATTTAAGCGTTTTTGTTTGCGGTCTGCTGCATTTCATGATTGACGTCATGAGTCATCGTCCTGGTGACTTTTGTAAAGGTTGGCAGCGTGCCGTGATTCAGCTGACAGGACAAGTGCACGTATGCCAGGTGGCGATGACGCCGCCCCAAAACAGAGCGCTTCATGTTTTTCGCCGCGCGCGCTCAATTTCCAATCAACGACACTGAATTCCCTTCGAGTACATTGCCAACCGCTTCGTTAATAATAATTCCGATTGGATTTGCGCGCACGCGACGTTTTGTGCGTGCTAATTGTCTGGCAAGTGCAGCGGTTTGACATTTGGCGGCGTCGCGTAGGAATCCAGCGCGCTGGACTCTGATAGTCGTTAGTCGGTGGCGAAGAAGCCGCAGCGCGCACGAAAGACGGGCCAGAACGACCATTTTGAAGTCATCGCTCGCCGACGACGAGAGGGTGTCCGCCGGCTGCGTACACCGTGTGCATCGCGAGCGTGCGTAGCGCGAGACGATAACGAGAGCGAGTTATCAAGAGCACGAAAGGGGCAAGAGGAGAAAAAAAACAGACAGACAAGTCAAACGCAGGCGGAGGAATCGACCCGCCGGGGTGCTCTGTGTGCGTGAGTGACCTACTGCGCGGACTGCAGTCGAGGCAGTCGACGTCTTGATCACACTGTGAACGGTCCGTGGAGATCCGAACAACATGTCGCTGCTGCCCATCAAGTTTCAGGAGCACCTGCAGGTATGCCGCATTGGCTTTTCACGTCATTTGCATCTATCAATCATTAGGCACACACCCAATGCAATAACTGCTACGTCAGGGGGGGCGTACACACATACACACCTAACCTGATCGCACCGAGTCTTGTTTCAATCGTTTTCACATTCATTTTATCACCATGCCTGCCTCTGTAACTTTATACTTAGATATTGTTTGTGTAATCAGCTCACAAATGTCGGCATCAACCTGGCGAACATCTCGTTCGCGTCGCTCACGATGGAGAGCGATAAATTCATCTGCGTGCGCGAGAAGGTCGGCGAGACATCGCAGGTGGTCATCATCGACATGGCCGATCCGACCAACCCCATCCGTCGGCCGATTACAGCCGAGAGCGCCATCATGAACCCAGCATCGAAAGTCATCGCTCTCAAGGGTAAATCCGGCGTCGAGACGCAGAAAACCCTGCAGATCTTCAACATTGAGATGAAGTCCAAGATGAAGGCGCATTTGATGACTGAGGATGTGGTCTTCTGGAAGTGGATCTCACTTAACTCCCTAGCGTTGGTGACAGAAACTGCTGTGTACCATTGGTCCATGGAGGGTGATTCCACGCCGGTGAAAATGTTTGAAAGGTATACTTTTATCATCTCCCTATGAGTATAAATAGAAACATTTAAATCTGTTTGTGCATTTTACTTGTAGGCACTCATCGTTGAACGGTGCACAGATAATCAACTACCGCTGCGATCCGAAACAGAACTGGCTGCTGCTCGTCGGCATCAGCGCACAGCAGAACCGCGTCATTGGCAACATGCAGTTGTATTCAGTCGAGCGTAAATGCTCGCAGCCCATCGAGGGCCATGCCGCGTCCTTTGCCACATTCAAAATGGAAGGCAATCCGGAACCATCTACGCTCTTCTGTTTCGCTGTGCGTACGCCACAAGGTGGAAAACTGCACATTATCGAAGTCGGGCAGAGTCCGTCTGGTAACCAGCCCTTCCAGAAGAAGACCGTCGACGTATTCTTCCCGCCCGAGGCGGCCAATGACTTCCCCGTCGCCATGCAGGTGTCCGCCAAGTACGACTGCATCTATCTTATCACCAAATACGGTTACATTCATCTGTACGACATTGAGACAGCGACCTGTATCTACATGAACCGCATCTCGAGCGAGACCATCTTTGTCACTGCGCCGCACGAAGCCACCGGTGGTATTATCGGCGTGAATCGCCGCGGGCAAGTGTTGTCTGTCTCCGTGGATGAGGAGTGTATCGTGCGATACGTCAACACTGTCCTGCACAATCCCGATCTGGCGCTGCGACTCGCCGCGAGGAATAATCTCGCCGGCGCCGAGGAGTTGTTCAGCAGTAAGTTTCAGATGTTGTTTCAGAACGGGCAGTACGCCGAGGCGGCCAAAGTAGCCGCGAATGCTCCCAAAGGTATCCTGCGTACGCCGTCGACCATTCAGATGTTCCAACAGGTGCAAGCGCCCAGCGGACAAAACAGTCCGCTACTGCAATACTTTGGCATTCTCTTAGATCAAGGGAAGCTCAATCGCTACGAGTCGCTGGAACTCGTCAAGCCTGTGCTCGTACAAGGCCGGAAACCACTCCTGGAGAAGTGGTTGAAGGACGAGAAGCTGGAATGCTCCGAGGAGCTCGGAGATTTGGTCAAGCAGGCAGAACCATCGTACGCATTAGCTGTGTATCTACGCGCGAATGTCCCAGCGAAGGTCATTCAATGCTTCGCCGAAACCGGACAGTTTCAGAAGATTGTCATCTACGCGAAGAAGGTCAGCTACACCCCGGATTACATCTACCTGCTGCGTTCGGTAATGCGCACGAATCCGGAGCAAGGCGCTGCGTTTGCTTCCATGCTGGTCGCTGATGAAGAACCACTCGCTGATATCAATCAAATCGTTGATATTTTCATGGAGCAGAATATGGTGCAGCAATGCACTGCGTTCCTGCTTGACGCGCTGAAGAATAACCGCCCGACTGAAGGGCACCTTCAAACACGCTTGCTAGAAATGAATTTGATGTCTGCGCCGCAAGTCGCTGATGCGATTCTCGGCAATAGTATGTTCACGCATTATGATCGCGCGCATGTAGCGCAGCTCTGCGAAAAGGCCGGACTCCTCCAGCGTGCTTTGGAGCATTACACCGATTTGTACGATATTAAACGTGCTGTGGTACACACGCATCTCTTGTCTGTGGATTGGTTGGTGGGTTTCTTTGGCACGCTGAGCGTTGAGGATAGTTTGGAGTGTCTGAAGGCGATGTTAACCGCCAACATTCGTCAGAATTTACAGATTTGCGTGCAGATCGCCACCAAGTATCACGAACAGCTGACTACCAAAGCGTTGATTGACCTCTTTGAGAACTTCAAGAGCTACGAAGGTCTCTTCTACTTCCTCGGCTCGATTGTCAACTTCAGCCAGGATCAAGAGGTGCACTTTAAGTACATTCAATCTGCTTGTAAGACTGGGCAGATTAAGGAAGTCGAACGTATTTGTCGCGAGAGCAACTGTTATAATGCGGAGCGCGTGAAGAACTTCCTCAAAGAGGCGAAGTTAACCGACCAACTGCCGTTGATCATCGTCTGCGATCGCTTTGATTTCGTCCATGATCTTGTCCTGTATTTGTACCGCAATTCCCTGCAGAAGTACATCGAGATTTACGTGCAGAAGGTGAATCCATCGCGACTGCCTGTCGTTGTCGGCGGTCTATTGGACGTGGACTGCAGTGAGGACATCATCAAGAATCTAATTCTTGTTGTACGCGGACAGTTTAGCACCGATGAGCTCGTGGAGGAAGTCGAGAAACGCAACAGGCTGAAACTATTACTGCCGTGGTTAGAATCCCGGTTCCATGAGGGTTGTGTCGAACCAGCCACGCATAATGCTCTGGCCAAGATTTACATCGATGCCAATAATAACGCCGAGCGCTTCCTCAAGGAAAATCAATATTATGACTCGCGCGTCGTTGGCAGGTACTGCGAGAAGCGTGATCCGCATCTTGCGTTCGTCGCCTATGAACGCGGTCAGTGCGATCGCGAATTGATCGCTGTTTGTAATGAGAACTCGCTGTTTAAATCCGAGGCGAGGTACTTGGTACGTCGTAGAGATCCGGAACTCTGGGCGGAGGTGCTCATTGAATCGAATCCCTATCGCAGGCAGCTGATTGATCAAGTCGTGCAGACTGCGCTCAGCGAGACGCAGGACCCCGAGGATATTTCCATCACGGTCAAGGCGTTCATGACCGCTGATTTACCCAATGAGTTGATTGAGCTGCTCGAGAAAGTCGTCTTGGATAACTCCGTCTTTTCCGACCATAGAAACCTGCAGAACCTGCTGATTTTGACGGCGATCAAGGCGGACACCACCCGAGTCATGGACTACATCAATCGGCTGGATAACTACGACGCGCCTGATATTGCCAACATCGCTATCAATAGTCATCTGTACGAGGAGGCGTTTGCTATCTTCAAGAAGTTTGATGTTAACACCAGCGCCATCCAGGTGCTCATTGAGCAGGTGAATAACCTGGATCGTGCGTATGAATTCGCCGAGCGGTGTAACGAGCCAGCTGTGTGGAGTCAGCTCGCCAAAGCGCAGCTGCAAGGCGGTATGGTGAAGGAAGCCATTGATTCCTACATCAAGGCGGATGATCCCTCCGCGTACATGGCGGTGGTGGAGACCGCGAGCAAGAATAACAGCTGGGAGGATCTCGTGCGTTACCTGCAGATGGCACGGAAGAAGGCGCGCGAGAGTTATGTCGAATCGGAGTTGATTTACTCGTATGCCAAGACCGGACGCCTTGCTGACCTGGAGGAGTTCATCAGCGGGCCGAATCATGCGGATATCCAGAAGATCGGCGATCGCTGCTTTGATGACAAGATGTACGACGCGGCGAAGTTGTTGTACAACAATGTGAGCAACTTTGCGCGCCTGGCGATTACTCTCGTGCATCTGAAGGAGTTCCAAGGCGCTGTGGATGGCGCACGCAAAGCGAACTCAACGCGTACTTGGAAAGAGGTTTGTTTTGCCTGTGTGGACGCCGAGGAGTTCCGCCTGGCGCAGATGTGCGGCATGCATATCGTTGTCCACGCCGATGAACTCCAGGATTTGATTAACTACTATCAGGATCGAGGGTATTTCGAGGAGTTGATTGGTCTGTTGGAAGCGGCGCTTGGTTTGGAGCGTGCGCACATGGGCATGTTTACTGAGCTCGCCATCCTCTACAGCAAATACAAGCCGGGTAAAATGCGCGAGCACTTGGAGCTGTTTTGGTCACGCGTGAATATCCCGAAGGTGTTGCGCGCCGCTGAGCAGGCGCATCTCTGGGCTGAGCTGGTGTTCTTGTACGATAAGTACGAGGAGTATGATAACGCTGTGCTGGCGATGATGACACACCCCACCGAAGCATGGCGTGAGGGTCACTTTAAAGATATCATCACCAAGGTGGCGAATATCGAATTGTACTACAAGGCGATCCAGTTTTATCTGGATTATAAACCGTTGTTGTTGAATGATTTGTTGCTGGTGCTCGCGCCGCGTATGGATCATTCACGCGCGGTGCAGTTCTTCACCAAGACGAACCATCTGCAGCTGGTGAAGAGCTATCTGCGCAGCGTGCAGTCGCTGAATAACAAGGCGATCAATGAGGCGTTGAATAATCTGTTGATTGAGGAGGAGGACTTCCAGGGATTGCGCACGTCGATTGACGCGTTCGACAACTTTGATAACATTGGCCTCGCGCAGAGTTTGGAGAAGCACGAGCTGACTGAATTCCGACGCATTGCGGCCTATTTGTACAAGGGCAACAACCGGTGGAAGCAGAGCGTCGAACTCTGCAAGAAGGATAAGCTATTCAGGGATGCAATGGAGTATACGGCGGAGTCACGTCAGGGTGAGCTTGCTGAAGAACTGCTGGCGTGGTTCTTGGAACGCAAGGCTTTCGATTGTTTCTCGGCATGTTTATATCAGGTTTGTGGTGTTTTTTTGTTTTATTGTAGTGTAAATTAATTTATTTTGTATAATTTTTAGTGTTATGATCTATTGCGACCTGACGTGATACTGGAACTCGCATGGCGCCACAAGATTATGGACTTTGCGATGCCGTATCTCATCCAGGTGACGCGCGAGCTCTCTCAGAAGGTGGAGAAGCTGGAGCAGTCGGATGCGCAGCGCGCGACTGAGGCGGAGCAGCACGAAACGAACAAGCCGATGATGATGGCCGAGCCGCAGCTGATGCTGACGGCTGGACCTGGCATGGGTAGGTGTTGTGTGTGTGTGTGTGTGCGTGTGTTGTCTAACTTCCACACGCTCATTGTTTTTCTCTTCATGTGACTATCGGATGTTGTCTTTTATTAGCACCTCCTCCCCCCTTCGACTCTTCACACTCTTCAAGCTACACTTTCTAGAACTAGAGTCTAGGGCAACTATTGCAATGTAGTTAAGTAGGTGTTTTTTTGGTGTGCGTGTCGCTTGCGTTTTATCCCTTTTTTTTTTCGTACTCACTTTTTTTGATTGCATTGCAATGCGTGGGATGTGTGTTTTATTGATTGTGTTTTGGTGTTTTCTGTATTAGGTATTCCGCCCGGTGCGCAAGGATACGCGCCACAGCAACCGTACATGCCGCAGCCCGGCTACAACCATCAGATGCAGTACCAGGGCTATGGGATGTAAGCTTCCTGTCTCCCCCGCCACACGCCAAGCCGATTACCACTGAGAGAACAGACAATATTCAATCAAATGCTTTTTTCACCGAGTAAAGTGTTAGTACATGTTGGTTGTCAACACCGCCTCAAAGCGCCTTATCGATAATCGGCCCGAAACGAGATCATGCGCGAACTACGACGACGACTACGTTCATTATTATTATTAGTTTCGTCAATATTTTAACGTTAGTTATGTTATTTATCATTGCCCGCAGAAGACACACATTCAGAAGATACACTTTCCGCCCCTCATACACACACGCATATACCGAACTTAAAATATTATTGCAAATATTAACTTTATTCTTTTATCTTACAATTTAAGATTATGCTGTTATTCTATGGTAGTGTTAATCAAGTAAACAGAGTTGCAAGTCACTTGGACAAAAACGGATTCACTTGGGTTTTTGCTTTCGTTTCAGTGGAGGATGAGATTGTAGGCATTCCAAAACTATGTAATGTATATAATAGAGAAATGAAATTACACACACAAAAAAACGAAGAATATATTTCTAGTTGCAACTTAGAGGAAAATTAACGTAACAAAAGAGATGTCAACTCATTAATTATTAAATTATTGAAATCTAAAGTATGGATTAGCGATTGAAATGCGAAGCAAACGAGAATGAAATTACAATTTTAAAAGATTTATGTAAATAATTGTATTTCAAGAAATTATTATATGATAGTAAAACGTACTAAATTATAATTCCACAGCGCCTGAACTAACGCACCAGCCATTCAGCAGTCAAATTATTAATTATTTATTGTTTACCGGAGACAATCACATGCGTTGGCGGCATATGCCTCAATCGCGAGGTATTTATTTAACTAACTTTTGCTTAATCACTGCATTACGAGTATGTCCGTGTTAATTAATGCGTTCATTGTTTCGGCATCTCTCTGGCTGTTAACAGCTGGTAATGATGGTGTGTTATTCAAACGCAAGACATCATGCCGCGTGGAAGACGATGCCCACACAACCGAAATGGAGACATATCTCTGGATGTCTGAATTCCCGAGTAAAAAACGCCTATGTCATGAAGGGCATTGCAAATCCCTGGATTGCAAAATGTATAAACTGCCCGCGAATAAAGGATGGCCCGACAGCGCGTATTATGAAGTCGCTGATGTGAAATTCCAAAAACTCCGACGCTGGTGTGACTGGGAGCAGGATTCACCCGGTGGGCAACGCAAGGGATTGCTAGGCAATTTCCTCGGGTCGTTTAAAAGCATGCTGATTTATCCTGGGACACGATGGTGTGGCATGGGCAACCGTGCCAATCACTACAATGATCTAGGTTTCCTGCATAGTAGGGAAGATGCTTGTTGTCGTGAGCATGACATGTGCCCGGTGTTTATTCAGGCAGGGACTTGTGTGCACAATCAAATGGCACCCAATCTGTGTAACAATTCAAGCGTTACAATGTATAAACACAAGAATAATCCCTATAGATTATATTAATTCTATTAACTAATGTGTTTTCTTTTTAGGTCTCATTGTGATTGCGATCGGCGTTTTCAAAAATGCCTGCAGAGTTTAGGCACGCCAACTTCATACATCCTAAGAAAGTTGTATTTTAACATGTTGGGTGGACGCTGTTTTGCTCACGATGGCCAAACCGGTATTCTGCGCACCTTCGTGCTCACAAGTCTCGGCAAACTCAAACATACTAATTATAAAAAGTAAGTAAATGTATTACAGCAACAGAAAATGACTCGAAAATGAAAAAAATCGGAATGTATAATTATTTGACGTCCATTTCAACTTCGGCGTCTGCATCCCCATCGCTCTCGTTGAACATAAACTCCTGCTGGTACTCTTTCAGGAACTGCACCGAGCGTCCTTCGTCATAAAACAACTCGTACGCGCGTTTTATATCCTCCACTTCCACTTCATTCACCTTACGCTTCCTCGCAATCAAATACGAAGTGGTTATCAATTGTATTCCATACCGCAGTGAAGTTTCCAATGCGATGCGAGTTAACACCGTCAACGCATCGTCTGTCAACTGACAATCCTCCTCCTCACACCGAATATTCAAGATCTCCTTCAGTTCCTTCTCCTCATATGGTACTGTGGGTACAATAATCATTCTATCCAGTAAATCCAACGGTATGCCATGCGGTGACTTGTAATTCGTGCCGCGGATGCGGGTGACTCCGCGATTCGTCGCCATCATGACAATGGGCGCCATTTCGTTCTCCAACGCACGATTCAAGAACGAAAAGCATTCGATATCCAGCATGTGTACCTCATCGATGAACAACACACCGGGGATTATTTCGGCTTTACCCTCCTCGCGCCATTCCGCTACCTTTCCGTTGATCTGCTCACGTACCTCGGGTTTTATCTCGCCGGTGTCGCCGGAAAACAACGCTAGGAAGCCATGCGTGCGGCTGTTGATCACGTCGATCTCGTGTAGTGTCACGGTGTGGACGACTTCCTTACGTTTCTGCAATTCGCCTTCGGGGCATTGCACGAATCTCGTCTGTTGGCCGGTGGCGTCGTAGTCGCGTGCGCGTGTGAATGATCTGCCTAGTCTGGTGATCTTTCCGGTGGCTTTGTCAATGGTGATCACATCGCCCGACTGGACTTTTTCCTTGAGGATGCTGTCGATCATTTTTCCGCCTAGGTCGTAGACGGTTTCCATGTCGGTGGTTTTCAGGATGAGTTTGCCGACTTTGTTGCCTTCGCCGGTTGCGGGACGCTCGATTTGTACCTCTATTACTTCGCCTTCAATGATTTCACTTTCTTCCCTGGAAAATATGAGAAAATAAATGTTTTTTCTTTTAGAATAGATTTGTAACTTACTTAATTCTAACGCCAATTGATTTTCTGATTGCTTGAGTCAATGCTTCAGTCTTACTCATCTCCAGAGAGAAGATTTCACTGCCAGCCATGCTTGTGAATGGTGTATCCAAGCCTAGGGATGATGCTAAAGCTGTGGCAATTGCTGTCTTGCCTGTGCCAGGTTGTCCGGCTAACAGGACTGCTCTGCCAGCAATGCGGCCTTCTTTTACCATCTGCAGGACGATTCCAGCGGCGCGGCGCGCTGTCATCTGTCCAACCATACCTTGAGACACCTAATAACATCCAGAGGGAAGTGATTAATGTTTTTGTTCTCAATATTATTCTATTGTTTATATTTACATTTCTAGCTTCAAGAGATTCATTCAATCCAAGTCCTCGGATGTGTGAATGCGCACCAATGCGTTCAATGCGAGTGATATCACGCACTTCTGCGACTTTTGCTGCTGCTGCTGCTGCCGACTGCACAAACGTGAGAAAAGTTAGGTTAACTTACAAAACAACTCAGTATTTCTTGTTTTAAACGTGTTTTATCGAAAAGTTTATACTTTTATGAAGATATAACTTAATATTATACATTTTAGGTGATTTTTATGAAGTGTAATACACTAAATTAGTAAAATATCCGACTTACCGCCATTCTGTTTGCTGCTTGTTTGTTTGATCAATCACATGAAACAAGTTGGTGACCCAGGCAACCACCAACACTCACTTGCACACAGCCGACTTGATTTTCACCTAGGCTATAGGCAACTTGTATTCCTCACACATGCGCCATGTTTGTTTGGAATAAGTTTCTTTATTCGATTTGAAGGGCAACTCTCAAGTTATTCGATTCTTTTCTAATATACATCTCAGTGGGCATATTTTAATTGTACATGGTGACAATAAGAGATGATCGCGAAACAATTCTTTTCAAGTATGATCGAATGATGATGATGATCGACAATAAATATCAAGTCACTGATCGACGGAATGTCTCAAGTAATGAACTTAAAAATAACGACTTGTTTTACAAAGAAATCAATGTATATTTACAAATATGTTTATTATTAATTTTTCGGTGGCTCGTTCCGTCATTTGCTTGCGTTCAAAGAACAACAGAGAGAGAAGAAAACGTTGGGCGTGTGTTTAAAATTCGTGACACATTCCGCGCTGCAATCGCGCAGATTCTCCACAATAAAACATCAAAAAAATCAAAAAGTACAACATTAAAAATGACGCACACGTTTGCACAGCGTGTGTAATAAAGTAAAATGTATAATTCTGCGGGGTTGTTTAAGAAAATCAAAATATTGCTAATGACTATCACTATAAAACTCAAGAAAATTTCAAAATCAAGCAATCTGCGCGCGCATCGCGGTAAAAACATGTCGCGCTTCTCAACGCTTTTCTCTCCTCTCTGCTTCTAATCAATGTCTTCATTTGAATATAGAGATTGCTGGTATTCGTTGTATCCCTAGTGCTGGCCAACGGGGGTGGTCTGGCGTTCAATCTCCTCCAAACTGAGCGCGTGCTGAGCGACTGCGCTGGTAGGAATGCTGGGCACGTTGCCCTTACGCGCGCGCTCCAACAAATCGGGCGAAAACCATCGCGCAAGCTGGTCGCTCGTCGGCGAAAGATCACCGCGATGATGATTATTATCTTCAAAAACAAACACAAAAACAACAATAAGTATCATAAGTATCACATAATTCCATTAAAATAATATTTACAATTGTTTGTGTGTTGTGTGTGTTGTATGTGTATGATATGTGTCGATTGTTAATGTTTACCAAAGTTAGCAGCCTGCCAGTTGCCACTCTGCGGATGCTGGAAGGCAGGCGGCTGCTGCTGCTGATGCTGCGCGCGTACATTCTGATGCTGCTGGCGCAACTGCTGCGAACTCAACTGCTGAAACTGTTGCCCACCCTGCTGCGGTGGATTCTGCTGACTACCGCCGGAATTAACATTACTCTGCTGCGGTGGCTGAGCGAAGAAGTTCTTTGCTTGTGACTGCTGTGGCAAGTGCTGTTGGTGAAGCATTCGATGCTGCTGCGCCTGCTGGAAGTACTCGGCTTGATTCTGGCCCTGCTGGTAATTGTTTGCCTTGACAATCGCACGCCCTGAAACTTGTTGAAAACATTTGTTGCAGATTACTCAAGAATCCATCATGGCGGGTGTGAATACCTGGTTGTTTCATTTGGTTGGAATAATTGTTATTCCAATTGAGTTGCTGCTGCTGCTGCTGTTGCTGTGGCGTTGGTTGTTGCATCTGTACGCCACTGCCTCCCTGCGCGTTTTGTGGCCCGCTCCGCAGACCGGTGAGTGGGCGTCCTTGTGGCACTTTGTCTTTTCCATCTTTGGATGCTACAAATTTAGATGATATTTAAGTATATATAAATAATTTATTACTTGTATTGCTTACAGTCGTCCTTTTCAGCTGTCAATTTCCTCATAACCGAAGTAGGCATGAATAAATGTGTCGGTGTAGGCGATGCAGTGCTCTTCGCCGGCGAACCAGCAGCGCCGCGTTGCTGCTGCTGTTGCTTCTTGCGATAATTCTCCTCCTGCTCCTCCAGCTTCTTTTTAATCAACGCGCGTTGCATAATATGCTGCGTGTGCACTTGCAGCTCGCGCGGCGACGGAATTCGTTGGTGTAGAGCTGCAAACAATGCCAAATTAGAATCAAATAAACTACACATTCTTAACGACAAGAGTGTTGTTAATAATTAAGTTAAGTCACAAGTGTGGTACCTGGCACCGAAAGGGTGTTGGGACTGGTTGCCATTATGGGCGACACGCAGTAAGCTGCATGAAAGTAGCGTTAATTAATCAAGTGTCGCAAAGGGCGGGCAAGCAAAGCAAACAACTTGAGAGCGCAAGCAGAAATCATACTAATAATAAAACAAAAAGATAACGGTTCGCCTCACCGTTGGGTGTCAGGGGTGAAACGCGCAGTTGTTGCTGCGTGTAAAAGTTAGGCGAGACGGCCTGCGGCGGCACCGGTGGCGGCGCGACGCTCACAACCGCCGGCTGCACTTGCGGCTGCGGCGGCGGTGCCTGCTGCGGCGTTTGCTGCTGCTGCTGCTGCTGCTGCATCTTGAGTATCGTCAGCAGCATCTCGCGATGCCGCGGTTGCATCGCCGGATTGGCGAGCTGCTGGTAAAGGTGCTGCGGTGTGATGTCGCCCCGCTTCAACCCTACCCAGCGGCGACCACTCAAAGTGTTAGTATAAAAATACAGGGATAACAACAACGGAAACAAACAAAATACACAAACAACGTGCATGCGCACACTCACCCTGCATTATAGCCTGCGCTTCGGGACGGTTGAGCAGCTCACGACTCTGCGCCACATTCATCTCGTGCAGCGGTGAGCCACGCTGATGACCACCGCCAAAGTTAGCGGCGTTCATCAGCTTACTGAGCATGTCAATCTGCTGCTGGCGTTGCACTTGAGTCTGCAGCTGCTGCAATTTGTACGCCATTTCAGTCATATGCTGTTGTTGTGGCGGTGGTGCTTGTTGTTGTTGTTGCTGTGGCTGGTTAGGCATGCGTGTCTGCTGCATACGCGTCGCCTCTGCATCCTTTTGCTGCGAGTGCGACAACATCTCCATGATACTCATCGGTTTAGACATTTGCGAAAACTTTAACAAAACAAATCAGTTAAAAATACAATTTTAACAGGTAAATATTGAAATAGTACCAATCGCTTGAATTGTTGCACATCCTCTTCACCAGGCTTACTCTGCGCACCTTTTTCAGGCGCACCATGCCTCAACGGCGCCTCCAACTCCTCCAGACTGAGGATTTTCCCAGCGCCAGGCGGCGCATCAGCCTTCTTACTCGCATGACCCGCTGCGGCGCGCTGCTGCATCTCAATCATATTGAGCGATGAGGACGAGGACTCCTGCGCGTGCTTCTGGCCCCCGCGGCCTGCCTGCGGGGGATGCGTATTGGCCGCCGGACTGATCGGAGCAAAATACGACTCGGAGTCGCCCGGCTGCGGGATCGCCACTCGCTGCGGCTCGTTAAACGTGTCGCCCAACAGATTACGGATGAGATTATGATGATGTTCCTGACTGGGTGGTGAAGACCTGCGACTACCGTCACTTTCCTTGGTCGGCGGGGACTTTTCACGTTGGAACCAGCGCGAGAAACGACTTCCAGCCGCATCACCAGCCTCGACACCATTCTAAAAAGGTAATCACACATTAATCAAGTAATATTAATCAATATTAATGAATACATACGCTGAGTAAACCAGGAATTGGCAACGAATCAGCCTTAAACATCGCATCAAAGTTGAAACACTCCTCATCGGGCCCGCCTAGCTTCGTCGACGTCTTCTTCTTCTCTTCATCACTCTTCTTATCATGCTGCTGCTGCTGCTTGCCTTTCTCATGGTTAAACTTAGTCGGCGAGGTGCTGCCATCTTTACCGATAAGATTCTCCTTACCAAGATTCTTCTTCGGTGGAGGATCCGCTTTCTTCCCGCCAGCGGCAGCATCCCCATTAACACTGCGTTTGTTCTGTTTATTGTTCTTCTTATTACTAACCTTCTCCGGCGGGTCGTCAAAACCCCGCAACTCTATAGTATCATTCTGGCTAATCGGCCCCGACGAGAACCACTCGGGCTCCTCTTCGCGTTCGTTACTCACGCGACGATTATACCCGCGACTCTGCGCTTGTCTGCCGTGCTTCTCCTTCGCCGGGTCAAAATCACGTCCAAACGAACGCCGATCGAAGCGATCCTCGCGCTCACGATCGTCAATTCTTCGATCTCGCTCGGGACGATCACGGCGATCACCACCGCCGCCACCGCCTCGCTCCGGACGATCACGGTCTCGATCCCTGTCGCTAATTTCACGCCGATAACCAAAGTCGTTCTCCTCGGTCTTCTCCTGGTAATCCCACGGCAGGATTCGACCACTGCCAATGCGTCTTTGCATCGGTTGATCACGATCGCGATCACGGTCACGATCTCGGTCGCGTTCGCGATCTCCCTTGCCACCGGACGCTGCTCCAAGGGGACTATGCGCTCGATTAACTCGAATTGGTAAAGCGGCGCCCGGTACAGCGGTAGCGCTCGCGCTCTCCCGACTGTTGGGAACAAAACATCCCGAATTGAAGCTGCGTCGCTGCGGACTCAACACAATCCCATCCTGCTCCTTACGAATCCTCTCCCGGGGATCAGCCGGTCGACTGCGCTGCTTTCCAACGGGCGCAGCATCATCGCCACCGCCCGCTGCACCACCAGGTCCATTCTCCGACTGATTCTCAGCCTGCTTGTTACTGTAATGCCATGGTTCGGGATCCCACACGCCCGCCGAGTTGTAGTACGCCGCATCCAGACACTTGGGCTTCTTTTGCGAGAACGGCGCCTTGCGCAGCTTCAGCAGCTCCTCCTTGGTGTAGCGATGGTCTACGAGCGATGCCGGCGGTAATTCCGTGGTGATTCCACCGGAAATCGCCGAGATTATCGCCGGATCCTTAAAGTCCTTCTTGGTCTCGCCGTCCTCATCACCTTGAATTATTAATAGATTAAATATTAGTTGCAATAGTGGAATATTGTATGTTGTGGGCTTACGAAATGAAACGTGCAAACGTTTGCGTTTCACCGGTTCCCACACGACCGCCACGAGGGCGGCGGCGGCGTTCATGAGAATCGGTTTCGGTGGTCGTTTGTGCACCATTTCGCACCCGAATCAAACAAAATGAATAGAAAACTATGACTAGATTGTATAAAACTATGATAT